CTGTCTTTTAAATTGAATCTTCTTTTCTTTACTAATTTAGCCTGGTTATTCGATATTTATTGATCATCAGATGAACTATTTTTATTTTATAATATGACACATTTCTCTAAATTTTGAAAACCATTGAAGACAAGTAGAACTTTCAAAACTAGTTCAATTTATTCGTACTGGGTGGTATTTTTTATAGTGCTCGCTGCAATGTGAATACTAAGTAGAATCTTGCCTTGATTTATTTTGCTTTGATTTAATTTTAAATTAAATAACCTCAATCAAGATTATGAACTTAGTGGCTGATGCTGTGAATTATAAAAGACCCTGCTCCTGGTGAGCAGAGAAGAGGAAAAGAAATGAATGCTTTCTTATAGCTTCAGAGCAATGACAGGCACTTGATCATATTAGCATACAATACATCAACACAGGAGATTCTCTCCATGGAAGTCACTGATTGTTCACATTGTTTTGAGTTGACATGGGCCCATGTTCACCACGCTCTGAACTTTATGCCAACATTTTTCATTCCTTCTTGGGGAAAACTCAACAACAAAAACAGAATAAGCATGAGTTCCATAGGCCACACAGCTAACGACAGCAGCTCCTTATCTTCTTTCCTACTGCGTATCTTGATTCTTACTTCTGCTTCTTAGGCACAAAACAAAGTCTCGTGTAGGCACCTGGGCATGGACTGGAGCTGGCTCATACTGGAAAGAGGGAACTAATTATTCAATTTTCAGGAAATTTGCATGCCAGTTATTATTGAAGTGTTATTAAATTTGCAAAGCATAATTTAAATAAATGGCATTAAGAACAGATTGCAAATATGCAAACCCACCCCTTGCTGATTAGGTTAGATGAGCACACAGAACCAGCTGAGCTCTGTGCTGGCTCCTCCCAGCACCCAGTGCTTCCTGGGCTGGACTGGGCTCTCACCTTCCCTTGTTTGTCCTTGTAGGTCCCTGCTCAGCAGGCCAGGACACCTACCATTGCCCACGAGGGAGGTCCTTGCTTTTCCCCTCAAACGGGACGATCTGGCTTCCTAACTAAGTTTCTGCACCATAGGAGAATTTGTCTCCACTTTGGCTTCCAGGCCACCCTGATATGCTGCAGTGTCACGTATTTTCATCTTGTGCGCATGAAACTGAGCTGCTGTCAGCCACTGAGCCCTGTTTCCCTCCTCCTGTTGCTCCTGCAGGATACCACTTGGGGAGCAGTCACCTGGGGAAGGGATGAGGCTGGGACCTGCACAACAGTGGTCTGCCCCAAGGGCGTGGGCTGGGGCTCAGGGATAGAGTGTGACCCCTCTGGGTCTTCCCCAGCTTGATTCACGCTGTGCAACTTTCATCTTTTGCTGGACTTTCTTTTTCTTTATGAAGTATGATAGGAAATGGTGTGTTGCCACAGAGAGTACCATCCAAATGAAAGGCCATTTTGTGTATGTGTGTCCCAGACCTTGCTCCACTGCGGTATGCCCTGGATCTGGCACTGTGTGACGTCTAGCTCTTCCTCAAAGTTAAAATGAACACTAATGGGAAATGATTTGAGTTGATTCATGACGTGGAGGGAATCTTGTCTGTGCCATTAAAAATGGTCGTGAAAGAAGACTTCTAGAACTGCTTCAGAAATTAGCAAGAACAATGCGATGACCATATTAGAAGTGAGTGGGTTAATGGCAATGCATTTTTTTTTATTTTTTATTTTTTATTTTTTTTCTTTCTTCAAAGTTTTATTGATAAACGGATAGCAATGAGACAGTTTCAAATCAAATCGGAAGTACAGTTTCAACAAATAATACACTGCATATATTATTCTTAGTGGTTAATTGCTGTACAAGACGCAGACTTGTGATCCTATTTACAAACACCATTAGAACAAATCATTCTATTCATTAAGAGAATGCAACTATATATCTATCCCAACCACTTT